TTAAACTTATCATATTGAAATAAATTAAATAATACCCACAGTTGGCCAGAGTTTGGGGAAACGGCATTTTCATACGCTGTTGGTGGGAATGTAAATTAGTGCAGCCTCCTGGAGGGCAATTTGGCAATACACATCAAAAGCCTTAAACATGTGCAAACCCTTTGGTACAGCAATTCGACTTCTAGACATTTATTCTATAAAGATAATCATGGAAATAAGTCTACTTTTATTTCCAGGATGTTGACTCTAAGGATGAAAAATTGTCAATATAAATAGTATAACTTGGAGACTGGTTAAATAAATTATACATATGATTAAATACTATGTAGTTATTATATTCTATGACGATTTTTAATGATGTGGAAATGTCTCATGATATATTAAGTGAAAAAGATAGTTTATAAGAAAGTGTGTTTCTTGTGATCCCATTTTTATGATAATAAATATTAAAACAAGCTGGCATATAAAAAGTCCTAGAAGAGCAACCAGTAAAATATTGAGAAGACTTATCTGTGGATAGTAGGACTAGAGATTACTTTAGTCTTTTTTTTGTGTGTGCTTTTCTCTATTTTTCCAAATGTTCTGCAATAGACATGCACTATTACAACCAGAAGAGTGCTGTTAATTAACCCTCAGAAATAGAAAGGTCAGGCCAGCCTCTTCAGGGAGGGCATGACAAGGTGACCCCAGGGTCCTTGTCAGCTCTGACCACCTTGAATCTACAACCTGGCCCACAGATGTGGGTGGCCCCTATGCCCCATGTCCCTTGGCCACTTGTATTTCTGCACATGTGGACCTGGTTTCAGCTGAGGGGCCAGGAAGGGTGAATGCAGAAAATGCAGGCGACATGGTCTCTGCCACGGCCCTTTGCTTTACTCTGTTCTTGATCTTATTTCCCCCTAGAAATTAACAAGGTTCTGGCAAAAGAGAACAAATGTCTTCCTTGAGGATGGTCTTAAAGTTTTTTACTAAGATGCAAAAAGAAACAAAAACCAAACCAAATACTAAAAAACCCAACAACAACAAACTTCTCAACCAAAAACCAACAGTAAAAAAAAAAAAAAAGATTTTTATCAAACTGATCACTCTCAAAACCATTTTTCTTTCCAAATGCCCCAAATGTATGTTCAGTCAATTAGAATGATTTTATATCATCATCTTTTCCTCCCCCTGCTTTTCGTTATTCCTTTTTTAATCTTATTTTGAATTGAGGTTGTAGCTCAGTGGTAGAGCGCTTGCGTAGCATGTGTGAAGCCCTGGGTTTCATCCCCAGCACAATGAATAAAAAGATCTTTGATTGATTAAATTGAGATGTATTTTAATACATGCATAATTGTATGTAAGATTAGGATGATTTCTCTCTCTCTCTCTCTCTCTCTCTCTCTCTCTCTCTCTCTCAATACTGGGAATTGAACCCAGGGATGCTCTACTATTGAGCTACATCCCCAGACATTTTTATTTTGAGACAGGGTCTCCCTGAGTTACTGAGGCTGGTCTTGAATTTGCAATCCTCTTGCTTTAGCCTCCAGAATTCTTGGAATTACGGGCATGAGTCACTGTGCTCAGCTGGGATGATTTCTCAAGCCTGTCTTTCCTTCTGTTGAGTTTTATTCAGTGATGAGGAAGATAGTGATACGTAGGGAGGGGCTGCCACACATTGGACTGGACATGGGCTTTGTAGGGAACTTATTTAATCCTTTAATTCCACAGGTGTGACCTCCCCAGGGTTCTGAGAGGTCAAGGACCTGTCCGAGTCCACACCACTGAGCTAAGAACTGGATGTGCGCCTGACCAACTTGAAGCCCATGGTGATCCTCTGTATAAATGAGGGGTCTCATAAGTGGCCAAGACTACTTGGCACCAGGCAGCCTCCCCAACCTGGGATGGCTGCATGGAGCCATCTGTAAACACGTTTCAAGCCAAGAGCAGGCCAAGCTCTCTTGTGCTCCACAGCTAAGAGATCAGTCTTCAGTTCAAAACACGTGGGTCCCCTGTGCCCACAGAAGTCCTTCCCTTCCTTGCATGGGCCTGCTTTCCCTCTTGCAGGGAAGCCAAGCAGGGTGTCATCCTACCCCATGGGTCTCACAAAAGAGATGCCCATGAGGGCGTTTGGAGGCATGCAGCTTGGTAAGCTTGCTCCTGATGCTTGCTCACTAATATCCTGAACCAGGAGTGGGCCCAGCCCAGCCAGGGAAGATGCCCAAATCTGTGTGGAGATGGGCGTCTGTATGACAGTTGGCCAGGGTGGCCTCTGGAAAGGGTCAACTGAGGTTTGACACCAATGTCCTGGAGATTTTGACAGGGTCCCTTTATCCCTCACTGGGCCCAGCCTGATTGGGACTTCTCAGTGATTAGAAGGAGCTGCTTTCAGGACCAAGGCTCAGAGCTGCCTGGGAACAGGAAGTGAGGAAGGCTCACTGGGTCCTCACCCTTTTCCTTTCCAGGAAGCTCCCAGCTTCAAGCCAGAGGGACACTTGGGTTCCATATATCCCCATCCCTACATTCCCAGATGCCAGCATTCACAGAGTCCCTTCTCTGGGACAGGCTTGGAGCCAACATCTGTCACAGAATAAACTTCCTGTTTAATTCCCAACAATCTTGTAGTGTCCTCAGGTACTGGCAACCTTGGTTTGCTGTGACCTGTGGCATTCTGGGTACTTGTGACCTCATTTTACCCAAACCCTGGCTCCCTAAGAAAGGGACCTTTATCATCCTCCATTTATAAGAAAGGAGCCGGGGACTCAGGATGGCTTGGTGGCTTGCCTGCAGTTCCACGCTGATGAGTGGCAAAACTAGATTCAAACCCTGGCTGCTTAACTCCACACCAGCCTCCTGCCTGCCTGTCACTCACAGAGCCACAGCCACCCCCTAACCTGACCTGGTCAAAGGAGGAAGGCAGGGAGAGGAGAAGCCTCTAGAGGGGACAGATGCCTTACTTTGGAAAAAATGTCACCATCATCAGCCAAGGAAAAGGGATCCCAGTCACCCTTCGCCCAGAGGAAGCAAACACAGGGCAGGAGGGAAAGTCACCAACCTCCCAGCCCTCCCCTTTGGATGTGTGGATATGCAGAGGGACAAGGGTGCTGGGAGAGCATCTGCAGAACTGGGGACAAGTTCTGGGCAGGGGAGGGCAGTGAGCTGTGGCTCCATCAGCCCCAAGATCGTGGGGGTGGGGACAGCTTAGACCTCACAGTGCTGCTAAGCTAGGACGTTTGGTAGGCTAGGTTCATATAGGCATTCTCTTTAAAAATTTTCTTCCTTCTCCTTTTTTTGTTTTTGGGTCCTGGAGATTAAACCTAGAGATGCTCTACCACTGCTTCTGGACTTTTTTTTTTTTTTTTTTCTCGACAGGGTCTCACTAAGTTGCTGAGTTTGGCCTTAAATTTGTGATCCTCTTTCCTCAGTTTCCCAAATTGCTGGGATTATAGATGGGCTCCATTAAGTGCAATTTTGATCTGAGAAAATTTCAATTTAGGATGGGGTACCAGGATGTAAGCCCATTGTAAGTTGAGCAGCATCTGTAAAGAGAAACCCTGGAGGGGCAGTTAACCAGGTCTCCGGGAGTAGCTCTGTTAGCACCCAGCTGGGAATGCTGATAATCTCCCAGTGGGAGGCTGAAATATTTTAGCAAAAGCCTGTGACTCCCTAAGACTCTGGCTGCCATGTGCAGGAATGGGGACCTGACTGTTTCCTAATCAGGAAGGTGGCTGGGAGGTGGGTAGGACCCTGACCCCAGGATGCTCCCGGGGGATGAAGCGGATCATGGCTCCCTTTCACACTTCATTCTTTCTTCACGCAGAGCTGGGGGTTTCCTTGTCTGAGATGCCAAGTTGACTGCTGCTGGGGGAGCTGCCTTGATCAACTGGGAGACCCCAGGCTACTCTGGACCTAGCACGGGGTTGCTCTGGGCATAAGATAAATGTCCCCAAAGTTTCTACCCAGTCCTGGAGGACTGAGTTTGTGACCTACTTTGTGCTTTATGCATAGCTGTCATCTCCTCAGTCTCATTTACTCCCAAGTCTTACACAGCACAGGAGGCTTTCATTACCCTATTCACAGAGCAGGAAATGGAAGCTCAGAGAGAGTGAGTATCTTTCCTGAGGTCACCCAGCCAAGAGCCAGTAGAGATGGAATCCAAGTCCAGGTCTCCCTGATGCTGGAGGCAGTACTGCTTTCCCTGGCCTACTGGGAAAGCATCTGCAGAACTGGGGACCACCTACTTCTGTCACTAGCCCATCCTGACCCTGGATGGATTTGGTCATTAGAACGACTTCTGAATCAACCAACATTTCCCATCCTGCGTCTTCCTGTCCCGAAGGCACGGAATGTCTGTCTCTCCATATGATGGTGATACTAAGTAACTCTTCCGCTGGCCCCACTCCTGCTCTGATGCATCAGGTCTTCTGGATGTGATTGTCACAGTCCTTAACCTCTGCAGGACTTGACAGTGTCAGGGTCACATCCTCTCTTAATTCTGATGTGGTGCCCCCGAGGCCTGGGCTGGGGGCGTCTACTCCAAGTGTAAGGTAACTTTTAGCTGAAATGTGGAAGATCTGAGAGGTAACGATACCAAAAAAGCCAGACTGGATCAACTGAAGCCCTGTTCCTGAGTGGTGACATGCCATGGGGGGCTGGGACAGGGACCCCCTGCCCACTGGGAAGAGACTGGCAGTCAGACCCTTTGGAAAAGGCATGTCCCAGCCACAGGCTGCACTCCCTGCTCAGGGCTGGCACTCTGTCCTGGAGGGTACAGTGTTGGGTGCACTCAATGCTTCTGGATCATCCATGGGAAGCCTCTTTGCTTGTCTCCAGGGCAACCTGAAAATCTGTGTGGCCTGAGTCTGTGCAGACCTTGTGCTAGTCCCCTCCATGGAAAGATCACAGCTACTTAGAGCAGAGAAGGAAGATAGGAGAGGAGAGAATTCAATCAAGTCTCAGGGAAAGGATATATCGGCTTAAGAGGAAAGGGCAGAGAGAGCAAAAAATAAATGACAAATTACCGGGTAGCCATCTCGTCCTGATTGCCCCTGTGGTAATTAATATGTCATTAATAATCAGACTTTCGGCAGAAAACCATCTGGCAACACTTAGGACTCAGGGCCCAGCATCCCCCCCCCCACGTTCCGCATGGTTTGCAGCAGCGGCTGCTGTTGGCGGTAGCTCGCTGTTTTAAGGGGGAGAACCCTAGGGCTCCGATGGTCTGGGGGACAGAGGACCCTTTTCCTGCCAGTCGGGCAGCTGGAAGGGGCGTGAGCCTCCATTGGAGCCACCAGGGTGTGCACTCAGGTGTGTCCCTCCCACGTCATCTGGGGCATATGATGAAGACCATATGGGGACACGAGGTTCAGGAGGGCACTGTCACATCTACCATGACTGAACCAGGAACTGAAAATATTCCTTAAATTGGACTTGTGGAAATACTCATTTCCTCCCCGGTTCCACTGGGATGGGGTGAACTGGAGGAACAGGGACATTTATGGCTACTGGCTACTTCTCTGTCCCCCAGCAAAGGTCAGCCCTGATTGCAAGTTGTCGCTCGAACATTTCTGCATTTGTTTAATACATCTAGTATTTCAACAACCAAGTCAAAAAACAATCGCTCAACCATCCTCTGTATTTTGCATTTCAGCGAGCTCACCCCAGTCTCCGGGGGACCACCAGGAACATCCCCAACAAGGAAACCTCCCTTGTGGCCAATACATCTATGCATTTTTGTTGGCTTGCTTTTTTGGCTCAAAGTGGAGCTACATGCCTGGAGAAGCCCAGATCCGGATGGGTGCTGATGGGGGAAATGAATTGGGATAAAAGGCAGTCAAACCCCAAAAGGGCTCAGCAGAAAAGAATTCCTTTGGAAGGTTCATTTTGGTTCAAGTGGACTGTCAATGTGCTTCTTAATGGACTCATCAGAATTTATCAGGTTCTGAAAAACTGCCAAGAGGAATCAAAGACAGAAGCATCTCCGGGCCTGGAGAATGTGAGATTTCCAAGGCCACGGACAATCCTGCTTCCAAACTGCCCCTGGCCGACTGAACTGAGGGAAATTGTGGGGCGGCTCAGTGCTTCTCCTCACACCCTTCTTAACCACAGTGGCACTTTTCTGCTGCCATCTCAACACCCTCATCAGTCACTTAGGCTCATGAGGTGCCAGCTGTCTAAGCCAGGGAGGGAGACATTCTGGTCAAGAAGGAAAACGAATCCTGGACCTCGTGACGAAGCCCAATTCATTCCTGGAGACACTGCTTGACTCTACAGCCTCCTTTGCCAATGCTCATCTGATAAAAAAATATTTAAAAATATCAGCGGCTGCAGACCATTGCACAAATACGGGCCTGGTACTTGCATTTCTGTGCACTAGGTTGAGCCAAAGATTTGATAAGGAGCCGCCAGGCTCGTGCCAGTCACAGGATGTTTCAGCAGGCAAGTCACACCTACAGCTTCTAGGCTTGCCTTGCATTTTTCTGCCAGGTAAATAAAGAATATGGCCCCTGTCTTAGATGGATATTTTTCTTTTCCTCTTTTTTTTTTTTCCTCTAGTGCTGGAGGTCAAACCCAGGGCCTTGCACATGCTAGGAAATCTTAGCACTGAGTTACACCTCCAACACAATTTTTTTCTTAATATTTTTTTTTAGCTTTATATGGACAGAATATCTTTATTTATTTTTATGTGGTGCTGAGGATCAAATCTGGTGCCTTATGCATGTGAGACAAGTGCTCTCTATCTCTGGGCCACAACTCCAGCACTCATTTTTTTTTAAAGGATACATCTTTTTAAACAAAAATTATTTTCATGGGTGTGCTATAGAGAGAAAACCGAATAAATGTCTTATCTTTCAGGAGATGAGCACAAAGCCAGGACACTTACTGGAGGACCTGCAAAACACAAGCAGAGGAGCCACCATCAGCACTGAAGGCAGAGAAGGTCCCTTTGCCTGTTCTCAGCACAACTACTGGTCCCATCACCTCTTGCCAAGGTTTTAACGGTGTCACAGCTATTGTCTGTAATAGCTTTACAATCAAGTGTCAGTCCCAAGGCCAAGTGGCAGAGAAGAAGAGGCATTTTTGTCCTTGGAGGGGTCGGGATGGTCATGTGGGTGGTAATGACACTTGCCATATGTATTGGTTCATGCATTCATTCGAGGAAGCTGGTTGGTGCTCATTCATGTTGGGTTCTAGCAACTGAGTAAGAATTGACCTTGTTCCTGCTTGAAAAATAAGTTTTGGGGCTCACTATGGGTTCGCTCATTTCTATTGAGGGAAAACACTTTGGGGAGAGGTAAGGTCACATGGATCTGTGAGTGTGAGCAGAGTGGGGGAGGGGGAGGCCTGTGGTCCAGCCCTGGGGTTAGATGTGCATGAGGACATTGAAGGGGACAAGTCTAGAAACATTGGTGGGGGAGGGGTTGGTGTGTGTGTGAGTGTGTGTGTGTGTGTGTGTGTGTGAGAGAGAGAGAGAGATATTGAGGGATGGTTGTAGTTGGTTAGTGATGGCACACATTCTGGAAAGTGGGCTCCAGTACTGGCCCAACCAGTGACTTCTCTGTTCCTGTGAGACCTCAAACCTCACTGCATAACGAGGCCACATACAACATGCGGTCAGTTGATCAATGAGTAATTATGGATGGCCTATGTGAGCAGGGAGCTGCCGGAGGTAAAGAATGGGACCCAGTAGTGAGTACAAGGGTCGAGACCTTTGACTCATGGAATGTTTATTCAACAGACGGACACTTAGGAAAACCATGCCGGGGGAAGCACAGGGAGTTCCAAGCACTCAACAAGGAGCTGCCCCAGGATGGCCGACTCAGGAAGAGGGATGGGCTGAGTCCAGGAGGTGAGAGAAGTGAGTTAACAGGGTGAGGCAGTGGAGGGAGGAGTGCTGCAGAGATGGAACACCCCAAGATCCCTGGGATTTTGAGGAGCAAGAGAAATGGAGCAGAATGCAGTGGAGGAGGGGCCTGGGTACAGAGTCCAGCAGAGCGGGGGTGGGGGGGGGGGGGGGGGGGGTGGAGGATGAGGTGGGGTGGGGTGGGGGGGCTGTTTTCAAGTGACAGGCAGGAGAGGGCTTGATCCTAAGGGCAGCAGGATGTCACTGATGGGTTCTGCATGGAGGAGCAATGAGGGGGGCTCATAGGTCCCTGCAGGTGTCCCTGTGTGGATGATGGTGGTGACGGACAGGTGAGAGTCAGGAGGCACTAGTCAGAGAGGTCAGTTGGGACTTGCTGGGTGACTGAATGGGAGGTTAAGGGAGGTTATGGAGGAAGGAGAGATGACCAGGATTTTTGGCTGGGAAAACTGATACACTAATCCTCAAGAATGGCAACACAGGTTTGGGGAGGTTGTGGTTTTCCTAACTACACTGGGGAGCAGAGCAGGGCGTTGGCAGCTCGGACATCCCATCGACCCTTCCTTTTTCAGCCAGACCTTGCTTCTTATTTTACAAAGAAAACAGAAGCTTTGGGAGAGTCACCATCACCTTCCCAAGGCCAGACGTACACGGCACCTGTGCCTGTGCTCACCTGCTTCTCCACATGCATGAGTTCATTCCAAGGGACTGACTCACCTCCAGTGAAGGCCAGCTTCCTGCAATGCCTTCCCTGGGTCGCTCCCTTCCCCTCTCCGCTCCCTGTCTGTTGCAGTCAGCTCACTCTCTCAGGCCAGATCCTTCCCAACAACTTTGAAATGCGCTCTAATCCCATTCATAAAAAAAAGCACCTTTTGGTCCCAATCCCCTTCTATGACTACCCCATCTTTGCCTGGAGACTAGATTGCTTCCAAGAGGCATCCACTCTCACTGTCTTGAACTCCTCATCCTCCACTTAATTGTGACTCTCTGAGTTGGATTCAACCCATTCCTTCTCACAATGTCTCCAAAGACCCGACCCGCCTCCACACCAATGAACCAAGCCATTGTCTCCTGCTCATTTTACTCGGCCTCTAGGCCGAATCCCTGCTGCTGACTGATGGCTCCTCCTTCTCCTCCTCTGATTTCTTTTGGTGCTAGGTATGGAACCCATGCTCTGCTCTACCACTGAGTTACATCCCAGACTGACTGAAAGGTTATTGAAGCAGTTGCTTCATGTGGCTTCCAAAATGTCATATTCCACCCACTTTCCTGGCCCCAGTCTTATGTGTGAAGTTTCCTCAAGGCTCAAGGGTGGGATCTAGCTCCTCAATTCACTTCTCTGCTGGTTCTTCTCTTCTGTCCTCTTTAATAATCTTATCCATGCTGTGGCTACCCTCTGCAGAAGAGTCCCGAATGTGTATCTCCAGCCCCGACTGTGCCTCTGAATCCCAGTCTCCCTTTCCGAGATGCCCACTTAACATTTCTTCTTGAATGATTCCATTTCCTCCAACACGTGCACAAACACACTTACGATCTTCTTCCCTAAGCCTGGCTCATCTTCCATGGTTCCTGGTCTCAGTGAAGGATGCCACCCCCATCCAGTTGTGTGAACTGGAAAAGGAGGACCCACCCTGGATATGCTCTCCATCCCCCAATCTATTCATGCATCCATTGTTTCTTTTGCTTGTTTTTAAGTTTTATTTATTTATTTTTGAGACCTGGTCTCACTAGGTTGCCCAGGCTGGTCTCAAACTCCCAGGCCCAAATTATCCTCCTACTTTAGCCTCCCAAGTAGGTGAGACTATCAGCCCATTGTTTCCTACTCTGGAATCCATCCACTGATCTCTTTCCAACTCCACAACCCTAATCCCTCTTACTATCATCTTTGGACTGCTACAGTGATTCCCAGCTGACATCCTTAGTCACTCATCATTCCTCAGATACCAAGTGCCTGCCCTCTGCCAACCACTGTTCTAGGTACCTGGGATACATCAGTGAAAATGGCAAAAATCCCCATCTTAATGGAGTTTCCCTTCTAATGAGAGTGCCAGATGAGATACATAAACATAACGAATCACTTGGAAGTCAATATGAATCATAGAAGAAGAGAGGCTCTAGTGTTTAAGAGAGGGGGGACCATTTGTGCTGGGGAGGGGCAGATTGGAATACTCCACAGGATGTTCAGGGAAAATGTCATCCTGAGACGACCTCTGAGCCAAGCCTTGAAGGAAGTGTAGGTCTTGGGAGGGCCGATTGCTGGGGAAAATATGTACCAGGCAAAGGGAAGACCCGAGGGCAGGAGGGTGCCTGGCATGTTTAAGGAGCAGCAAGGGGAGCCAATGGGCCTGGAGAAGAATGGGAAGTAGCTGTAGAGAGGCACTGGGGTTGATGGCCGGTGGGGGAGGCCCTGCTGGCCACTCTTGGGACTTTATCTTATCTCTGTGATGGGGGAGCCCTTGTCAGATCCTGACAGGATACAACCTGGCTAGCATTTTAAATGATCACTATGAGGGGCAGCAAGAGTAGAAGCCAGAGGCTGTTTGCAGCAATTCAGGGGAGAGAGAATGGTGGCCCATAGCCAGAGGTAGCAGTGAATGGGGTGGAAGTGGTTGGGTTTTGGATCAGTGCTGAAGGAAGTGGTTAGGTTCTGGGTGGGTGGTGAAGACGCATGGAGAGGATTTCCTGACAGACTGAATGGAGAGCGTGAGGGGATGAGTCAAGGAAGATGCCATGATTTTGGCCAAAGGATGGAGTTACCATCCCTGGAGGTGAGGAGATTGTGCTGGGAGGGTTTTGCTGAAGGGATCAGGAGCTCAGCTTGGTGTACATGGTGTTCAGGGACACCCCAACTGTTAGGAGTTGGGGAGAAGAGAAGGAAGTCCTGAAAACCACGTTGTGAAAAGTGTCTTGAGGAGGAGGAGGAGGAGGGAGCGATCGCCTGTATAGTACCCAGTGATGGGGTGGGAGCCTGACTGGAGACAGGTTAGGGGAGAAGAGGGAGGAATGTGAACCGCGAGTGCTTTTGAGGAGTTGCGCTGCAGGGGGAAGCAAAAGATCAGAGTGGATGCTTTGGGGTTCATGGGGTCCAGAGAAGAGTTTTTTTTTTTTTTTTTAAGATGAGAGGTACTATGGCAGTTTTTAATTGAACAGGAGTCATCCTGCAGAGAGGGAGAGATTCAACGAGTAGGAGAAAGGGAGATTCCTAGAGCAATGCTGTTGAGGAGGTGGAAGGGGCTGGTGCAGAGCGGGGTGCAGGTACATGAGGGAGCCTGGAGTCTCCAACCTCGGCAATGGGCAGGGAGGCAGAACATGGAGCTGCTCAGTGTGTGGCTGAGGATGTTGGAATTTAACTGAAGTTCTCTTCTGGTTGTGCCCACTTCTCTAGTGAAGTAGGAAGTGAGGCTGTCAGTCCCAGGTGACCAGGATGAAGGAGGCCGTGGGTGGCTGGGATTCAAAATTGGTGTCCTGTGAGCTTCGTGGGTGCTGGAGCCGGGCATGTGAAGAGTAAGAGGTGAAAGGGTAGCAGGGCGCAGGTTGAAGGAACTGAGTGCTGTAAACTGGAGGGGACGAGGGACAAGGAACAAGGTGGTTGATGCATGGATCTGAAGATGGGTGAGGTGGAAGGACTGTGAGGTCAGGGAACTAAGGGAGTGGGCTGGACTCTGAACTGAGGTTTTGTGGACTGCTTTTATTAATGATGATGAGGAACTGGGCCAGGTCATGGCAGTGGGAGGCTGTGATGGTCCTGTGGAGGTCCAGGTCACTGGAGAAGAGGAGGCTATAGAACCCAGAGGTCAGCATGTGTGAGGAGCTTCTTCCCAGATTCACTGGACTGGGAAGGGTAGAAAGGAGGGGAAGATAGAGACAGTTGATTGATCAGTACATAAATACAGTTGGATAGCAGGATTACTATTTTCTTTTTTTTTTTTTTTACAGTATTTTTAGTTGTAGATGGACACAATATCTTTTTTTTTTTTTTAGAAAGAGAGAATCTTTTAATATTTATATTTATTTTCAGTTTTTGGTGGAC